ACTGATAGGGTATAAACAAAAGGTGTATAGACCATTGCCCTATTTCTATTCCTTAATGCCTTTTGAACACGGAGACAGCTTGTGAATTTTTTAACTTCTGTATAAAATGAAGTGAAGAATTAGTGAAGTCAGTTATTGTGTATAGATGACGTTGTCCAAAGGTCTGCTTATCAAACAGACTTTCTTGAATTGATAATAGAATTATTTCTTCTCTATCACTTCAGAAAAAATTAAACCCAACAAGTCAGTTCTGACTCACAGTGACCCTACAGGACACAGTAGAACTGCCCCATAGGGTTTCCAAGGCTATAATCTTTATGGAAGTAGACTGCCTCATCTTTCTCTCACAGAGCAGCTGGTGAGTTGGAATCACTGACTGCATTAGACTGGGTTCTCTAGAGAAACAAAAACCAGCAAAGCTTATATATATAAAGAGAGAGAGAGAAATTTATCTTAGGAAAATGGCTCACAAACATATAGAAGCCAGCAAGTCCAAAGTCCCTGGAGCAAATGTCAGGCTGGAGGCTTTTCCTAGCTTCCACAACCACAGGGGCCGAGAAGCTCAAGTCTGGCAGACAGTATACCAGCTGTTGACTCCAACTAATGACAAATCCAAGATCTCCAGGCCAAACAGTGGACTGCTCACTCACAGACAGTTGTAGGCAGCACAACAGAATCCTGATCCACAGAAGAATGTCTCTCTTCCCAGGATATCCCTGGATATCCTGGAATCAGGCCACACCCCTAGGGAAACTCCCCTTGAACAGATTGGCCACTCAGAACACAGTCATCTGATCCCATCATGGGAACAACCACACGGAACTGGGGTCCAGCCAAGTTGACACACAGCTCCAACTTTCACACTAACCTTTCAGTTAGCAGCTGAATGCCTTAACCCCTGAATCAACAGAGTTCCTTCAGAAAAAAATTAAAAGGCCATGGCAACATTAGCTGTATGTATCCAAGAAAACATAAGTAAAATAGCTCCTTCTGAGGTAAGTCAATAGCTCAGTTTAAAGAATAATTCTTGGGACTGATGCACAATACTCTGGATTCTGGAATTAGTAATTTATCAGAATGCAAATGGACAAATTTTCCAAAATGTTTTAAAATCATTACACCTACTCCTCACTTACCAACTCTCTAATTTATGACAACAGTAAAAAATCTACTATCCACCTATTTTGCACATGAATGACATACATGGCAAAGAATACCAGAAATATGTTTACTTGTTGCTAAAGGGGCAGGAAGGCTGCATCTTCTGACCTCCTCTAACCCCACAAGAAGAAGACAGAATCATCATCAGTAGCCCAAGGCCTATTCCTGTGAGGCCAGACATGCTGCCTCCCTCCAGCCCTTTCACCAACTGTTCCTCCCACAGCACCCACCACCTCTCTGCTGGGTTCAATAATTCACTGCAGCTGCTACACAGAACTCACAGATTATGGGGTTTATTAGAGAAGCACCAAACTACAATTCAAGTTCAGAAATGCACTCAGTCTCTTGCAGCCAGCTGTCTCACTCAGCAGTCAGCAGTCTCAGTAGCACATCATTCTCTCAGTAGTACGTCTCTCATGCCTCTCTCTCAGCAGCGAGTATCTCCCATGTCCCTCAGGAGTGCATTTCTCTCAGCAGCACGTCTTTCTCAGCCAGCAGTCAGATTGACTGCTTCTGCCTCTAGAAGGGCTCCTTTTGAACCTGGTAGGGTGACCAAACTAACCTGTCCCAACATCAGAATTCTACACACTGAGAGAGATAGAACTTCCCAGAAGATTGCTTTGTGCAACTCTCAACAGAAATACCCCAGGTGGATAACTTTAACAATCAAGATCTACTCAGTTGTTCACAGCAAATTCCACCACAGAGTTTACAAAGACATATGGCTAGAAAAGCCATACTAGGTAATCTACTACACTGCACTTGTGTTTTATTGACTATGTAAAAGCATTCAGTTGCATGGATCATAACAAAATATGTATAACATTGAGAATGAAAATTCCAGAATATTTTATTGTGCTCATCAGGAACCTGTACATAGACCAGGAGGCTGTTGTTAGAACAGAACAAGGGGATTCTGCATGGTTTAAAATCAGGAAGGCAGTGCATCAGGGTTGTATCATTTCACCATACTTATTCAATCTATATGTTGAACAAATAATCTGAGAAGCTGGACTGTATGAAGAAGAATGTGGCATCAGGATTGAAATAAGACTCATTAACAACCTGTGATACACAAATGACAAAACTTTGCTTGCTGAAAGTGAGAATGACTTGAAGCACTTACTGATGAAGATTAAAGACTACAGGCTGCAGTATGGACCATATCTCAACATAAAGAAAGTGAAAATCCTCACAACTGGACCATAATCAGTATTACAATAAATGGAGAAAAGATTGAAGTTAAAGATTTCATATCACTTGGTTCCACAATCAACACCAATGGAAGCAGCAGTCAAGACATCAGATGATGTATTGCACTGCAAATCTGCTGCAATAGACCTCTTTAAAGTGCTAAAGAGCAAAGATGTCTCTTTGAAGACTAAGGTATGCTTAACCCAAGCTATGGTATTTTCAATCGCCTCATATGCATGTGAGAGCTGGACAATGAACGAGGAAGACTGGAGAAGAATTGATGCTTTTGAGTTGTGGTGTTGGTGAAGAATGTTGGAAGTACCATGGACTGGCAAAAGAATGAACAAATCTGTCTGGAAGAAGTGGAGTAGGAATGGTCCTTGGAAGTAAGAATGGCCAGACTTTGTCTGACCTACTTCGGTCATGTTGTCAGAAGGGACCATTCCCTGGAGAAGGATATCATGCTCAGTAAAGAAGAGGGTCAGCGAAGAAGGGGAAGGCCCTCAATGAAATGGATTGACACAGTGACTATAATGATGGGCTCAGGTATAGCAAGGATTGCGAGGCTGACACAAGACTGGGCAGAGTTTCATTCTGTTGTACACAGGGTCACTATGAGTCAGAACCAACTCCACAGCACACAACAACAACAATGGTGATAACAAATGCCAAGGTATGTGCCAAGAATAACTCTAGCTCTGATGTTTAGGGTTATGCATCAACTTGGCTGGGCCATGATTCTCAGTGGTTTGGCAGTTATGTAATGATTTAGTCATTCTCCATTTTGTGATCTGATATGGTCATCTTCCATTTTCTTAATGCTGTTTTTCACATAATGACCTGGTCTTTGGAACCTAAGTGTGTCAGATAGTGAGGAGTCAGTGTACAATGATACATACTTTCCTTTCTTTTTGTTCTTTAAATTAATTGTGGTGAAAATATACACAAGACATTCACCAACCTAACAACTTCTACATTTATGGCTCAGGGACATTGATGACATTTTTCATGTTGTGCCACCATTATTGCTATCCTTTTCTAAAACATGTATTCCACCACTATTAGCATAAACTCAATGCTCTGCAAACAAAAGCTTTCCCTTTTCCCCTCCCTCCTATCCCTGGCAAACACTAATAATCTTTGGTCAATACCTACTTTCCTTTCCAAGACTCGTCTCTTAATCATTGTAGCAGATGCTATTTTGCTTTTGAAGTTCATGGGCACAAGTGGTTCCCATCTACCTTTGTTCTCCCTTTCAGCATGAACAATTCAGAAGGCAGACTCCACTCTGTTCTATAAATCTGACTGATCATCTGCCTCCATGATAGAATCTGAGGAATGACGGGCCACTCCAAATTGCAAAAAATGTAGCTTGCTTATAGTTGTCAGGTGGGGTGGGTATCCAGATTCTCTGTGGGGTAGTACAACTCTGGCAATAGAAGAAGTATTAGGAAATAGAGCAAAGGAATAAACTTCAAAACCTAGCCTTCAACTTTGAAGTTCTCTCACTAATTTTAAAATAATTTCTAAAGTTTAAATTATACATTTAAATTACAAATTAATAGTTTCATTTTCTACTTGATTCCTTTTCTGCCTTTCCATGGGTTTATTTTGCCTAAATAAGAGTAAATATATTTAACAAAAGTGGCATCAAGAAGTGATGGTTATGAGAGCCATAACAAGAACAGATATATGCACGCCGATGTTCATCGCAGCACTATTTACAATAGCCAAAACTTGGAAACAACCTAGA